TTATTTTTTTTAATTTTAAATAAATGAAGTGAAAGCAAATAATAATAATTAAAAAAAAATTTTTTTTTAATGGATAATCTATATCTGTTACACGGATTCAAATTGTTTTTTTTTTTTTAATAATTGATTTTAAATAAACAGTTGTAATTTGGGCAAAAGAACTGATAATGACTATAAAATATAACTTTTAAAAGTTGAAGAGAAAAAGTCAGGCAAGAAAGATTTGTACAGTATACACATATATCATGTTTGTCACAATTTTAAATATACAAATTGTCATTAATTATTGCCATAAGCTTTTCTAATCTATTATCCTTGTAATAAATATAATATTATAAATAAATATATTATGTTTATAAATATTTTTATATATTTATAATTATTTAAATGATGACATTATTGTTGTAAAGTAGATAGATATGTGATTTCAAATATTTTTTTTTTTCAATTAATAATTTAACTACCAGGAGGTCCCCATGCACCAAAGATATCCATACTCATTGGTTCTTTAGTTTTACGTATATAACGAACCATATTGCCTAATTCTTCTTCCAAAAATTCAATTTCCTCCATACGCTCTTCTTCTTCTACTACTTCAATTAGTTCAGCTTGTCTTTGTTCATACAGTAACTCACAATTTACTATTACAAATTGGTTACAATAATCATAAAGCTGTCCAGCTGAAAACATCTTTGCCCATTCTTTCAATTCGATCACATTCTGTGGCAGTACAAGCCCATCGTTTACAATCTTATATTCAACTTCACATTTAAGCTCTTTGATTAAATATTTTTCTGAACAATTAAGCAGATCAATGTATAATTTTAATAGATTTGATGTTGAATTTTTATCAGACATATTATTATTGTTGTCGTTGTTGTTGTTGTTGTTGCGTTTACTATTTTTTTTACCATCTTTATTATTCTTTTCAGTTGTCATTACAAAGGTCACAGCTTCAGATAGTGATTTACCATATAACCATTCAAGAAGCACTAGAAATGAATTAGGATCTATATCATCCACTTCCACATGAATAACTTCATCAGGATTCGATTCTTTAGTGCCTGCAAGAAACATCACCTCAAAATAATTTGAAGAAGCTGCCAGCTTGTAACGATTGGCTCCTATCTTCTTACCACGTACATTAAAGTAAATGTCATGAGGTTTTTGCATGTCGTCCTGTCCATGATAATTCTTGTAAAGTTTAGAAACTCCTTTTCCTTTTTCTTTTAAAAACCTGTTCAACGAAGTGGCAATATGTTCTTTCTGAGAATGAGGTATCAATTCTATGTTTACAGGTATATTTTTCATCTCTAATGCTCCTGAAATTAATAGCAATCTTTTAAAATGAGACAATTCAGGGCTTACTGCCATTTTATTTGGGCTGATATCTTCGCTTATATTCAAGACAAGATGTTTTGCACACATCCAATCTTCCTGTATAAAAGGATCAGCCCCATTCAAAAATATATATGGATTTTCTTTTAATCTTTTACTTAAATATTCACGATAGTTCATCTTATCCAAATACTCGTAGATTTCAGAAATAATCTTTTTTAATTTTCTTGTTGCTTTGGTCGATTTCCACGATGCCAAATTAGCTTTGACAATAGTGTCAATTATTCCATATAGATGATCTAATACCATATGAAATTCAATGTTTCTGAGTGATGTGAATTTAGTTAGAAAGGAATGGTTTGGCATGACATTGTACGAGTATATAGGTGCCTGTGTCCAAATGAGGTTTTTGTAGATTGGTAAATGAAGTGCCTTAAACGAATAGAATGGTTTTTGTTCATATATTACACAATCATAAGGTGCTCTCGGAGGTTCACAAGGTATAAAATCGATTGATGATAATGTTTCCCATTGACTGTCTGCTAGCCAAAGCTCTTCAAAATGATCGTATAAATAATTCACCGTTTTCCTTGCTCTGTATATCAAATTTTTTGGGGGGTTGTCACTTTTTGATAATTCTTCGATTTTCCGCGCACATTTGATAAAGTTGTCTCCAGTCACTTCAAAATTTACTGCCACTACTCCCAGTCTTTTTACAAGTGTATCAGCGAATGCTTTTTTTTGCAACGCTTTAGGAATAAAAACATCTTCTCCTTCAAATACAAGTCTAAACAATAGGTTTGATCTATCAAATAATTCTCGTGGTCGTTTTGAAATTTTTTTTTTTTGGTAAGGAATCATGCTTAAAGATAAATAAATTCAAAATAGTCAATGATTATCAATTGAACATGGGGTTAAAATTAGAACTCTTACTAATTATTATTATGTTTATCACATAATTTACCTTCTTTACTTATCCTTCCTTGACTACTAACCCTACAAAAAGTTTAGATACTTATTTCCTACTTAATTTTTACAAAACATACTTAAAACATAAGTCAAAACATACTTGAATCAAAAAAGATGATTCACTAATTATTTGCAAAATATGTATGAATATACTTATTTTACAATTAAAACATTCTTATTTTTTACAATAATAGGAATGTAGATATCCTAATTATACACTTAAAAATATACCTCTGGATTTTAATAATTCTTAAAACATACTTATTTTCTTGATTTTGTAATTTACTTAAAACATACTTGAATTTGAAATACAAATAATAAAATTATTCTTTTTACATCCAAAGAACTGACCCAATCCAATTTCACTTCTGACTGATAAATGAGTAAATAACCAATGATTTATTTGATTAATTACACAACAAGGGTATTAGCATCAAACAAGGTGGTGATGAAGACCAGGAGCAAAATCCTATTATAAAATTCAGGCACTGATAAAATTTAAAATGTCCAATAAAATTTTTGGAATGGCCATTTTCCAACTACACATTTTTAATATTAATATTAATACAAATTCTTTATCTGAATTATTCATTTTAGTTTATTTGTTTTATTCGTTTATTCGTTTTAATCATTTATTTGTTTTATTCGTTTATTTGTTTTATTCGTTTTATTTGTTTTATTCGTTTATTCATTTATTCGAATTATTCGTTTTATTCGTTTTATTCGAATTATTCGAATTATTCGAATTATTCGTTTATTCGAATTATTCGTTTTATTCATTTTATTCGTTTATTCGAATTATTCGTTTTTATTCATTTTATTCGGATTATGCGTTTTATTGGAATTATTCGTTTTATTCGTTTATTCGTTTTTATTCGTTTATTCGTTTTTATTCATTTTATCATTTTATTCGTTTTATTCGGTTATTTGGTTTTATTCGTTTTGTTCGTTTTGTTCTAATTATTCGTTTTATTCGTTTTATTCGTTTATTCGTTTTATAAAATATTAATTCACAGCTTGATGCAATAAATTCTATATTAATATTAATATTATTGTTAAGGGAT